TCCTTCCAGAATGAGTGACTGATTCACATGGAGCATGGATGGACCAATGTCTTGGCCAGGTCAAGGGCAGATCCCATTGTTCCAACTCCTTTCCTGGATGGAGTTGATTAAACAACCTCAGTTGCGGAGTGACCTGTTCAAGTACTGATCTCCTATTGTGCCAGATGTGTCTACTAGGGCAGGCTTTAAAAGAAGAGCTGACAGGCTTCAAAAAGGCAGCCAAAACCCAAGGAAACATAGCAAACTTCCCTCCCCACAAGTAGAACCTAAAGTAGGTCAGCCCAGCTACTAAGGGCAAGCAGGTTTCCTTGAAAGTGTCTCTAGGTATGACCGGTCCTTCAAAGCTGCTGTGTTGAGGGAGAAAGAAAAGGGGGCATCATTTTATTCCACATTCACAAATTGCTCTGTGGCCACCCATCTGTCCATAGATGCATTTCTCCAGCACCTTTTGGCTGAAGAAACCCAACCATTTTGGAGTTTCTGTGTCACTTCTGGGGATTGCCCAGAGGATTTTCAAAAACTCATTACCAATTGCTTCACCTGAGGTTTTTCAGCAACACCTATGGGAATGAAACCTTGGTCTTGGCAGTCAATTTGGATTTAGAATTAGATGATCTTAATTAAAAGACAACCTACTGGTTGAAGAATCCAAGGTATCGGTTCACACTGGCACATGGCATTCTGAAAGCACAATTTCTCCATTCCCAGTCTATGGAGAGTCTCAGTCATCCAAGCCATAGTTGTCCCAAAGGTGCTATCCCAAGTGGGCCATCATTAAATCTCAAAAAAGGCCTTATAGGAGCTCCTCCGTAACAGACAGCAAAGAAAACAATAAACAAAGCAACTTTGTCATTCCATACATTACATGAATATTGGAAAAGCTCAGGAGGATCTTCAGCCAACACAACATACGTGCACATTTCAAACCCAAAAATACACTAAAGCAGAAACTTGTCCACCCCAAGGATAAAACACCCAGACACAAACTGAGCAACATGGTATATGCAGTACAATCTCTCAACAGATGGAGAGGGATACAACATCATCTATCTCCAGTCTACAACACAATCCTTTCTACAGTTCCAAGGAGGTTTCACACCCATTTGCACTACTCAGGTGACCCTGAGGATACAGTTAAACCTCCAGGTGGCCTCAATGACTCTCTAAAAAAAATGCAAATGACCAGCTGTCTGCAAGGAGTATAAATCCTTCCATTTCCCATCATCCAGCCAGAGCTGAAGAAGCTTCTTGGATGGGAAGCAAAATGTCTTCAAAGAAAAATCAGAAAGTCCAGTTGCCTCTTGAAAAAGCACATTTGGGTTCTCTATTCTGTTTTCATATGTAAACTCTCCTGAGTCTGGCTTAACTTTTAAATTAAGATGATCTTTAAAGTGAAAAGAGGCCCTCTCCTGTAAACTTTTGCAAATGTCACGGACCTCTCAGAATTGGAGACTTTCCAAAGGTAGCTAGGTTCAGTGTGTGGGGGAGTACTGGTACAAGGACCCAGCCTTAAAGCAGGGCTTCAGTCAATATGCACAATATTATCAGACAGGGCCAAAGACTGCTTTTTTGCACCTTGTGAACAAGGTAGTCCTTGCCACACAATACAACAAGAAGGACAGGCATTTTATGAACTAATAAAATTCCTGTCTTCTTCCATCTGCTACCAAGAATCTAAAGGGGACAACAGAGCTAAGCCACAGAAGTGATGAAGGCTGCAGGAACACCCTCAGGGTGATGCCTTCCTTGGGTAGTTTATTTGACAGAAGGGCTGATTGGCATTCAGCAACCAGCTTTCAGGGTGTCTATGGGCCCAGACAAGCAGAAATCCAGCACCACCCTTTTGGCTTATAAGCAGCAGTGGAGACTTTGCAGGGAGAAGGAAAGGTTATCTGACAGTCTATCCTAGAACATAACCTTTAAACCCATAAAAATGCAGAAAAGCAGCAGAACTTGTCATTATCCCAGCAAAGAACAAACTTTACTCATTGTTACATTTCAAACAGGTGTTTTTCAACTACTTCAATTAGAAATTTCTATGGTAGTTTACAAAGCACAACTCATCACTAAACAAGACTCAAAACTGGCCTCCACCTAATCATACTGGAACAGAAATGCATCCACTGACCAGGCCAGCGGCCAAAAAATCCTCTTGGCTAATGGATCCCCCAGTGGGCAGGTGGGAAACCCCCTCAGCACCTACCTTGAAAGCTTCCACCTGGGAAAAAGACAGGAACTGTTACAGGGGCACTAAACGATTGCCCTGCCATTTTCTACTGGAAAGTGTCCGAAGTTGTCATTTATTTCCTAGAGAAGACAAGCGGTTGGGAAATTGCTTTCCAAATTGCTCTAACCTGGTTCTCGATGGCGATCGTTTAATGGAAGCGCGAGAGACAGCAGCCAGCCACTTCCACGTGGTTTTCCCAGACACGCAGGGGTGTCACCCTGATGATGGGGTGTCCAGCTGAGCTTCCCATTTTCTTTAAGGTCAGGCCAGGAGAGCAGGGCTCCGAGCAAGCTACGCCTGGGTCTCCTGCATCTCCTTCATGGGCATAGGGAACTCCGCACAGCCATCCTGCTTCCCAGAAAGGCCCATGGGAGGAGAGGGACATATCCTGCTCTGTTCTGCTATTCAGACTCCTCGAGCCCTGAGGCTGCTTTGCTGAGGAAATCTTCCAAAATCAATGGCTTTCTGGCAAGGACTCTCATGAGGGTTGTATAAACTTAATTAGCAATGATGAATATTTACAGCTTTAATTCCACTTCCACCAAGCAGCTTTTTGTTTTTGGTGGGATCTCCCTGTCGCAAACCCTTCAGTGCAGAGAGTGTTCTGAGCCTGAGGGGCAGGTCAGCTCCTGCTGGGAAATCTCTGAGCACCATCCATCCTTCGGGAAGCGGAGGCAAAGGCTGGCCAAAGAAAGATTCTCCCATAAGAGTTCTGGAGTCCTGCATGATCAAGGTTCAGTTGTGCCAAATGTAGAAATAAAGGGGACTTTTCAGGATAGAAAAGTCATTTATCACCTATATTTAAAATTGAATTTGCTGATATTTTATGGTATTCGATATTATTTCTATTAACATTTTATGCTGAAATTACAGAATGATTCGTGAGTGCTGAATTTTTGATTGCCTTTACACTTGCTGGGATACTATTAAAGTTGATTTACGTTAATAGCACCGTAAGAAGATATTAACAATGAAATTCCAAAAGCACTTAGCATCCGATAATTGGAATTAAATGACAAAAAGAAGATCATAAAGGGGATGGAAAAGAAGGAGTGAGGTTGGCAGCATTTCCTCAAAGGAGCCCCGATGCCATCCGGGCCAGCTCAGCAGCGGCGTTCAAGAGAGGCGCTCCGTCCACCTCAACGGGAACCTTTTCGGGCCAACGAGCTCGACCAAGCCGCCTGACCGGGGAGACGGAGGGACGTTGCCATCTGCCGCTGGGATCCTTTCAGCTCCGCTTGGCTCCAGCGTTCACGCCCGCTCCTTCCACAGCGGCCATCGCCGAGGGAGGGCCCGGCCGGCTCTGACATCCTCCCGGCGGCACTTGAGCCAGCCGGGGCCAGGAAGAGACCGCTGTCGCTGTGGGCGATGGACCGAAGAGTTTCTCGGGGCTTCGGCAGCTTTCAAGGTCCCTGCCCTTTTTCGCAGCCAGAGCTTCCCGGCAGAGCTCTCCCGGGGGCTGGGCAGGCGGAGGCTGCGACCCGGAGGGAGGCCCGTTCCGGAAGAGGTCAGGCCGGGGGCAAGGGAAGCGCCGCCGCCGCCGCCTCTGGCCAGGCTTCGGGGCCTGCAATCAGCCTCCCGCAGGAAGAGCAGCTGTGGGCAAGGCGGCCCTGCCGGCCTCCCACTTCCGGCCTGGGGCCCCTCGGCGGGCGGGGGTCCCGTGGTTCTCCAGCCCGGCTGGCTGCCAAGACGGGCGCGGCGGGCAGGCGGCTCGCTCGGCGCCTGGCAGCCCCCGCTCTCCGCCTCGGGAGCCTGGCCGGGAGGGCGCCCGCCGGGGAGGGATGCGGGGCCGAGGGGGGCAGGGCAGGGCAGAGCCGCCCTCCGCTCTGCCACGCGCTTCGGACCTCGGGTTCCCCGGGCTCAGCCCTGCCTGCCTTCCCGGTCGCTTCCGTCGCCTTCGGGCTTGGCGAGGGGGAGCTGCGCTGCCCAAAGGCAGCTTCCTCGGCAGGCACCGCGACCGACCCCAGGAGAGCAAGCAGGGCGCCTTCGCTCGCCAGGAAGCGCCGCTGGAAACGGCCCGGCCAAAGAGAAAGCGCCCCTCACCTTAGCGAGGCTCGGCGGGGAAGTGGCTGGGGCCTCGGCTGCGCCGGGCGGTCGGGGGCGCTTCTTCTGCCTCCCCTTCGCACCTGCGGCTGGAAAAGAAGGAAAGTTGTGGTGGAATAAGTTCCATAGGCTTCCGCTAGAGTATTTCTTTCCTTTCCTTTTCCATTTCCTTTAAAAATCTTCCCGGTTGTGATTTCATCAAAATAGTCGGAAGATTCTCCAGCCTCAGAGTGAAGCCCTTTCGTTCTTCCTGGTTTTGCACATTTGATGGACTAATTTCCCCCTTCAGAAGCTGACTTTCTATACCTTCCCAGGTTCCATATTGTGTACTTTACTCAGCAAAAGGACATGTGTGAGTTTTGTGTAATTTTTAAATCTGAAGCCAACTCTTGAAAAGCAACAGAACATTTAAAGCCCACAAACACTGAACTAAAGCACAAGGGTCTCTTTAGGAGTCTCCAACCCCTTGCTAGCCTCCCAGTCAATGAGATGCCTGGTAGGACCAAGCTGCATTGGCTTAGCTAAAGCAGAGTGCCTCCCCGTTCATCCCTGGGTCCCACTCATCCTGCAGAGGTTCCTGGTCCCCTTCTCCATTACTCCCAGCTTCTCCTCTCCTGTCAGGCACCCTGGCACTAGCAAAGGAGCAGGATGTGAAAGGGGGAGGGGAGGGGAGGGAGGGAGGAAGGGAGGGAGGAAGGACAAGACTATCAGTCAAGGCCTACTGACTTGAAAGAAGAAAGGGGACCAGTTGCCTTGGGGACGCCTTGTTGTCAGCACTCTGTCCTTTAGGATCTCCTCCTCCTCCTCCGCTCACCATAGGTATTGGTCCTTATCCCGTGGGAGGTCAAGTGGGAAAGGCAGCCCACAGATGAGCTCTGGAATCTCCATGGGGCAACAACGATGTCTGGACAGCAACTGCTTTGGAAGTTTCTAGCCCCAGAATTCTAATGGTCTGACATTTCTCTGTTGGTCTAGCAGCAGAAATGAGACTGCTGAGTGTTTCCCCGAGTCCTGCCGGTGTCTTTATCAAACACACAGGGCTACAGTGGGGAGAGGGCTGGACCAGCAGAGGAGACCCAGGAAAGCAACCTGGATGATTTGGGGCCAGTGAGTCTGTCTCACTGGGGAAAAATGGAACGAAGAGTTCTATGTACAACATCTTGAGTTCTTGGGAGTAAAGGAGGATGTCAATCCAACAAATAGTAATAAATAGATTGTAAGTAAAATGATTAATTACAGAACCAGCTTTTCCCCTCCCATTGAGTCAATGTTCCCTATTCCCTTACAGGCCCAGTCCTCCAGAAATCCAGACCTCTCCGGCTAAAGTTCAAGAAGCTGCAGGCCATCAGCATATGGCTTCCATCCCTGGACCTTTCTTTCCCCCAAAGAGATTTCCTGGAGGGAGTGGCTGCCTGTCATTTAAACCTTTTGACACTTCTTCATTTTTGTTCCTAGCTCAGCAGGAGCAGCCAGTTTTGCAGCCTCATGAAGAGAACCGAGCATTTGATCTGAAATTGTTTTTCAATAGCTGTATCTTCTTCTGTGTTATTGCTTTACATGGCATATGTTTGTACAATATTGAAAATCAATAAAAGTACAAAAATGTTCCGTCTTCTTTTAAAAATGAAACTATCTTGTTAGCATTCTGGAGCTGATGTTCTGCTTTTCCTTTTTTCTGTGTCTGGGGCTGTCTGAGGGACCAGGCTGAGAGGCTCAGCAAAGCGGATAGAAGAAGGGACTGCCCTCCAGGCCCCAAGAGCAGCATCTGGCAGACATTGGGCCAAGGTTGGTTGGTCTGTCTGTCTGTCTGTCTGTCTGTCTGTCTGTCTGTCTCTCTCTCTCTCTCTCTCACACACACACACACACACACACACACACACAGGCTCTCTTAAAAACTGAACTGGTTCTCATGGAGGTTCTTTCCAGGCTGAGGTGATTTTAGTCGGTGGCAGCTTGAGAAAAGCTCCCCCATAATTCAGACTTCATCTTGCAAAAGAGAAGCGGCCTCAGGGGGTAAAACCATTATTTTCAACATCTTGCAGGCTTTTTTCAGGGGGGGAAGACTTGCTGTCTCTTATTTTGGAAATTCTGGAAGACCTAGTTCTGGTCATAGTAATTTCAATTCATATAAAACAGACTCATAAGGTCACTGAGGGTCTGCCATCAGAAAGCAAAGAGGAATGAAGTGCAAAATCTGAAAAGAGGGGCTCCCTTGGATTTCCCATGGTTTCCTCCTCCCTGAAATGGGGCAAGTGATATCGGGGAGACGGGCTGCATAAACAAACCAGACAATAAATAAATGCTGGACCTTGTACTGAGGGATCTGGCTCAGCTCACCTTAAATTCAGCCCCATTTCAGAGGGAAGAAACTAGATGGCAGACTTTGGGTGATGCATGCAGGATGGCATCTCTCACTGCAGGCAGCAACCCAGCGGCTATAGGGGGAGGCAGGGAGACAGTGGGCCACACCTTATGGGTGCTTTAGTGAAATATTAATAGGCTGGTCTGGTTGGGCAGCTGGGACTGAGCCAGTGATGGGATTCAGCCAGTTCGCACCACTTTGGGAGAACCGGTTGTTAACTTTCTGAGCAGTTTGGCAAACTGGTCATTGGAAGAAATCATTAGGCCAGAGAACCGGTTGTTAAATTACTTGAATCCCACTACTGGACTGAGCACTTCACTAACTAGAGATCCAGTACCCTAACATGACCCAGATCACTGGCTGGTAATCCCTGGCGTGCAGGACAAGATGAGGAAATGGCATCCATCACAAGGGTTCACATCAGTGGTGGGTTGCTACCGGTTCGCCCTGGTTCAGGCGATGCTGAGGTGAGAGTGCCCTGGTTTGCTCCGACCATCAGCTGTCCCCCCCGCCCGCCCCTGCACTATACCTACCTATATTCGTTCATTTTTAGCCCAGCTGATAGGCACCGCAGAGCGGATTGCCGCACCTCAGCTGTTCTGAAATGCAATGTGCTTGCGTGGAGCAAACCTGTGGTAACACCGGTTGAAACCACCACAGGTTCACATCTAGTCCATTGCTCAATGCTGATCAGAACCTGCTCACCCAAAGAAGGGCAGGTCAGTCAGGAGAGGCACCACCAAGCCTCCGGCTGCGGCTTCCCTGCTGCCAAGATCTGGGCCAAGGGTTAGGGTTAGTTGTTCAAGAAGATGCCACTCTGACAAGCAGAAAGAAACCTGCCTGTGGACATTTGGAAAGCTTGAAGAGGAAGGGATCAATTCTGAATGACAGCAAGGGAGGTGAAACCAGGGCAGGGCAATAGCATTAGCCATGATTAGCTTTATCAAAGAGAGCTGAAGGGTGTGTATCAGATGCACATAAGACAGACAGAAAACACCTGGCTATGACCTCCACCCACCCGAGTTACTGCCAATCTGCTGATTAATTACAGGTGTTAATTGGAGGAAAGTATAATTGAAGGATTGCTCAGCATACCAGATGAACGTCCATATTGGCCAGAAACACCTACCGTACGTTACTTGGCTTTGCTTTTTCTTGTGGGGAGAGCACAAAGCTAGCTAGTTGCACTTTTTGAAAGTCCAAGAACATGAAGGCCTGATGCTCAGTGCCAGTGGCTGTGAATTATGTCAAGATCCCAGTTTGACTCCTTAGAACATCTCTGAGCATCTGCCTGAAGCCTTCAAAAATGGAGCTCCTGAAATCACTGTCAAGGGTGCTGGACAAGGCAGACCAGGGGCTTAATATTTTTCTTTGTTCCTCAAGTTAGATAGGGAGGTTGGAACCATCCTGAGCCTAACAATTGATTAAAATTAAACAAACTTTCCTTGGTCACATTTTAAATTATGCATAAGCCTTAAGGCATACTTCTCTTCTCTCTTTCCAAGGCTGCAGACTGAAGCTTGAGACCCAAGGCTGAGATCAAGCTGAATTATGGGCTAGATTCCAGTGAGCAAAACCCAGATTAAAGCTGGATCCCATATAAACTTAACTCCCTCCTCCTCCTCCTCCCTCTGCTCATCTCACACTCAAGGATGTAGCAGGTATCTCTTCATTCCCATAACCGTCAGGGTGGGAGGGGGGAACCGTTTCCTCTAAGCATGGTTTTTGGAGCGAAGGGCCCGTCACTGCAGACCCCTGTCCTCTTCTGCATTTGCTCAGTAAGGACTAGTGTTTCCAGAAAAATAATTGGGTGAATAGGTCAGCAGCATCCAAAATCCCCTTTGAGCAATGACAAAGATGACCATCAAATTCCTTCAGCCTGACAGGATGCACTTCTGTTAACTGAAGGGAACGAGACCAAAAAGTTTGCTTCAACCCACAGGGGGCCAGGTTGGGGCTTCCCCCTTCTCACTCTCCTCTCTAATCCTGGCCCAGTGTCCTTACAGAAAGTTCTCTCAAGTGCTACCCATTGCGATCTGCTCTCAAATTGCCCCCAGAGCCCACTGGAAATTCCCTCAGATGTCTAACAAGCTTCAGACACAACTGAGGTTTAGAAAGACAGAGAAATCAATACAGCGGCTTCCACCAGTCAGGCTGAGGGATTAGCCATCCCAAGAAAAGCATTGACAGTTGAATAAGGGAATCATGACTCTGAATAACCTGGGAGGTTTATAAAGCTCGAAAGCTCTCTTTGGCCCTGATAACCTCCAGCTGACCAAGGGAGGCTGTGAAAATATTCACTTAGCTTCCTCCCCTTCTCTGTCAATGAGGGCAGCCACCACCCCTGGGGTCAGTCGGAAGACACTATCACACAACACCAGGGAAAGAATAATCATTTGTCAAAAGACCACCCTGAGCTCCTCCCTGCTAAGACTTCAGGTTTACAGCAGCTGATCCTGGTCTCTTCCCATTGCAATGGCCAGTTTGTAACATTTGAGAGCTCAGTGGACATTTGGCTGGGCTCCAAGGCCATGTTTTCAGGTTCATCCATCAAGAGCTAATGGCTGGCCAGCAGCAGGGATGGGACCTTTTCAAGGGGAAAAGGTTGGGGAATTCTCTCCAAAGGTCGGGTGATGCTCAATTTGAAGCACCTTTAAATGAGCTTTGACTTTTTTCTTGCCTTTGCCTTTCAGCTAAAACTGAAGTTTTTAAAATGCAAGCGTTTGATCTGAGCTATGCTGTTCCGGATGAGACTTCACAGTGGAGGTCATTGCATTTATCCTTTTAACTCTATCACTTTCAGGCTTTGCCCTGGAAGGTGGCACAGAAACATTGATGACAGCCAAATCAGGCCACCCTGCCTTTCACATGTGGCAGTGAAAAAGAAGAAGCTCAGCTCAGGCCTTTGCTTCCTCTAAAACCTCCCAGTAGAGAGAGAGAGAGCATTGGGCAGAGAGAGAGAAATAAAGATTTGCTACTCTAGAGTTTCAGCAGCTACCAGCGCAGTACTACCCAGAGCTCCCTGGAGCAAAGACAAGGGAGGGAGGTTGTACCAGCTTCTTTCACACACTATTTTTCCAGGCACCTCCTTACTTGAGGAGACCTATGATAACTTGGAGCAAAGGTTCTTGACAAGAATGTGAAGCTATAAGCCCAGGACTTGCTAGGCTTGAGCTGAAGCCTGTTGTTCCCCACCCAGACGGTCACCCTAACCCTAAGACTCAGGAGAGGAAATGACACCGACTCTTTGCCCTGGGGTGGGCTGGTCTGCTGGGCTCCAGGGAGAGGCATTCCTCCCTTCTGCTTCTTAGCAGGCAAGCCCCTGCAACCAAGGATCCACCTCCCCCCACCCCCTGCCAGCAAGCGGCACAGACTTTTGGCTGAAGGACAAACAGCTGAGCAGCCCCAAAAGCCACTGCCAGCTCCTCTTCTCCTCAGCTCCTTCCCCTCCAGCAACCCCCCAAAATCTGCCACACCAGGTGAGAGATGGGATGGCCCTCAAGTGGCACTTGTATCGACAATGGGCTGCAATGTGTAACAGAGAAGGAATTGGCAGGTGCTGACCTGGTGTGAATTTTTCTTCTCTCACTGCCTGGAAGTGTCCGTTCTCCTTACCCATTTTACCCAAGAAGCCTGATCTAGACCACAAATAAAATAAAATTATGAAAAAGCCATCTGAGAGGAAGAATGGAGTGGCAGCAGAGATTCCCAGAGCTGCTTCTGATATGCCAGGAGTCTCTGGAGGCCGGCTGGCAGGCCTGCACAGGTGCTCAGCAGACAGAAGGTCTTGAAGGAAAATCCCCCGGGGTCAACATCCCCACGGCTCCGGGGGACTGAGGCTGTCCCACAAGGCATCCTAAGAGCTCCTGGCAAGGCCCACAGGCTGAGGGGGGCCGAGAGGTGCAGAGAGTTGGGGCAAAGAGGGAAATGGCCTGTGCTGCTCCTCCTCTGGCATTCCCCTCCCCAGCCACATGTGTGACTCCCTAGCAGAGTAGAAACAGAGGTGATTTACAAAGTCGTTGACAAATGCCTCTATTGATCGGGTATTAAAGTGTCTTGTGATTAATACAGCCTTCGAAGTAATTAGTGAGGAAGATCTCTTACATCTCAAGATGTTTAAAGAATACATCTGCAAACACCGAAGCCGGTTGTCAGTCTGCCTCATCCCAAACCTCTTTGGCCTTTCCAAAACAGGCACTCTCTCTTCTAATTGCCCCCTGTAATCAACAGAAGCAGCTACCCATGAGGGCTGGAGAGGAAATCCCAAGCCCCACCTGCCCAGGACCTCAGGGCGCTCCCCACAGCCCAGCCCAGCCCCTTCCTCCTGCACCAACATTGCTGGGTGGGTGGAGGGGAACATGAGCCGTTTCCCATCTTCCGACACGTCTGATCGCAGCTTCCTTAATTGCCATGTAAACCACATGCTGGTGTGGAAGCTGCTCAGAAGGCCCAGGCATCAGGCAAAGGGGGAATCCATTATCACTTAACACCAGCTGGAATGAATTGCGCGCCTGACGCCTCCGCCTGCCTCCCTCCCTCCCTCCTCGCAGCAGCTGAAGGAGTGAAACAGCTGCTCCGTCTGTGCTGCCTCTGATTCCCCAGAGCCCCCTCAGTGCCAGCACTGGGCAGTGCCCAGCCTTGGCCATGGAGAACAAGGCCTTGCCAGGTCAGGAGACCAGCTGGCAGATGAGAGGAGAAGCCCAAGGAAGTTGTCCCTGCTTCTCTGGAGGGTTAGGACATTCCCACATCCCAGGAACTCCTTTCCTTCCTGTTCAGGCAGCCTCAGGGCCAGCTGGGGCATGGGGCTGGCTCTGAGGCCAAACTGTTCTCCCTACCAGCGAGAAAGCTCGGAACGGGCCCCACTTGCTTGACTCTCAGGGACTGATAGAAAGAAGGGTTTCCTCCTAGCAGGATCTGTTGGTCAGAAGGCCCTTTGCTCTAAGTCTGCAAAATACACCAGGCATCCGGTCAGCCATTTGGACAGCTTCATGTTTTGTCTTCAGAAGTTGTGCTCACTTCTCCATCAGCAGAAATCTCACAAATAACAACCCCTCCCTCCCTTCTCTTCCTGACTCTGAGGGCTCTGGTAGCGGCTGCTGTTTTTTAAAGGGAAAGTGAGTGGGTAATCCCTTCCAGGAGACAGGCCAGCCACCAAGGGAGGGTCCCAGGGTTATAGGCTGCAGGAACTGACGGCATCATTGAGGGGCAAAAGTAGCACAGGCCTGCTGCTCCCAATCCCAATTTGCCTTACATTCCCACCCACCCACCCCTTATTACTGTTTGTGCTTTTTATCGCTGTTGATTCTGTGCTCTCTATTCCAATATTCTCCCTTTGCTCCTCTTGGCACATTTTATTTAATTGTCAGGAGTTAACTTGAAGGCACCCTTCAAAACACCGGAATTGTTCAGGGTCCCTGACATCAGCAGTCCAGAACATGGAATTGTAAGCCACTACAGATGTGATCAGCTGCCTCCCAGAACATGAGCTGCAAGTAAAGGCCACTTCTTGAATTTGTGTGTCCCAGGACAAAGCCACAACGTATAGCCACAAGCTTCCAGATATTTTAGCTTGCATTCTGTGAGGATTTCTCCAAACCCTCCGTTGGGCATTTCTCTTTTATACATAACCTTAGAGCTCTGGTGGTTGTTTTGGAATGCCTGCGCATCTTCAAACATTGTGCACTTCAAGCCCTCTGGTAGGAAATGACCTCAGGTTTCATCAGAAGAAGATCCTGCAGGGCAGCTGGCACATTTCTGCTAACCGATGAGCCACAAAGGCATTCTGGCATTTGCCCAAAGGCTTCTGCTTTGTTGCGATGTTTGTTTGGTTTCTGAGTTTGTTTAAGAAGAGGTCATCTAAGACCTTTCTGCTGCTAACAATTAAGAAACTTCCAGGTAATTTTTGAAAACGTCAGCATCTCATTTCGCAAAAAAATAAATAATGACACACAATCACTGTCCTGTGCTGCCAGAACAAGTTTGTGGTATCATTAGTAAACTAACTATCATACTATTGTGCCACACTTTAATTATACCCTATAATTAGCTTCAGCCATGGATTACGCAGAGTCAGACCCTGAGCTAAGTGAAAGGTAATAGAACTTTTAAGAAATCAATTCGGGTTGGCTGGAAAAGGCAGCTTGAAGCAGAAGTGGCTGCTTTCAAGAGGAGGTTGGCTTGACCCTTTCGGACTGCAAGTAGAGCTCCAGGAGGAGGCTGCTGTTGCGCCGTCCTTGGCCCAGGGGGAACATGGACCATGGCAAAAGCTCCCTTGGGCTGTATGAAAGAGTGAAAGACATATCCATGGGCTGGAACCAGGGGTGAAATGCTCCCGGTTCGGACCGGATCACCCGATCCGGTAGCGATGGAGGCAGGTGGTTCGGAGAACCGGTAGCAAAAATCCCTGCCCCCCCCCCAATCATCAGAGGCTTTTTCTTTTAATTTTTAAAAGTATTTTTTCTACAACCTCTTCGGCCGAAAAAATGCTTTTAAAAGTAAAAAAAAAGCCTCTGATGATCGTGCGGCTCAGCTGGGATCGTCAAAAGCTTTTAAAAGCCTCTGACGATCCAAGCTGAGTTGCCTAATCAGCAGAGGCTTTTTTTCTTTTAAATGCCTCTAATGACCAAAGCTGAGTTGCCTGATTGGCAGAGGCTTTTAGAAAAAAGCCTCTGCCGATCAGGCAACTCAACTGGGATCGTCAGAGCCTTTTGAAAGCGTTGTTTTACAACCTCTTCACCGAAGAGGTTGTAGAAAAAATGGTTTACAAAAAAAAAAAATTGGCCATGCCCACCCAATCACATTCCCCCCCCCCACCAAGCCACGCCCACAGAACCAGTAGTAACAAATTTTAGATTTCACCACTGGCTGGAACTATCATCAGGGAAGAGAGAACAAAACCTTCTCATTGTTCCTTTAGCTTTCTGTCTAGATTGCCATGAAATGTTCTTTCTGACCAGGCCTCGTTGTGTGTCTGGGAGACTTCAACTGAGATTAAGACAAGTTAAGCCATTGGAAGTCCAGGGCTGGAGAATTACAGCTCAGTCTTGGTCCAGGGAGCTTGACAGAAAGGTTAATCTTATTTGGGGCATTTTTGTTGCTTACAACTATTATTTATTGATGGTTGCCGTTCCTGTACTGTCCACTTTGTGGACTTTGCAGTTGATCTTTTTTGTCTTAAAAGCATAGCTTCTTAGCTACTTTAGGTTTATCTATAATAAAACTGTAATGCGTCTAGGAGTTGGTCAGAATAACCTTTTTGAGAACCTTCAATACTCTGGTTGAGTCTGCAGGTCCCAGTTTTTAATTCAGACATCAGGCCCAATAAGATGTTGAAGGATGCTCCCTCTTCCTCTTTCACCCCTTCCCACCTCCCTTCTCGGAGACAAGGTATTCAGGTTGGGGATCTCAGAGGGAAGGAGGTGAGGGAGTGGCTGCAACATAGAGGATGAGCATCTTGGACTGCCACTGGAGGACCACTCCTCAGGACAGAAGCCCCCTCTTTGCTCTGAGCTGGTCAGCCTCAGCAGTGGCATCTGGTTGCGATGCAAGAAAAAAGTCCTGGGCTTCTGGAGAGCAGAAAACACCCCTCCAGCCAGCTGCTGCAAGGTCACCCTCCCACCCCACAAGGCAAGCAGTCATCCAAGTTCAAAGCCCTCTTTGAAAGTAAATCAATGGGAAGATGACTTCTCTGGTAACACAGCAACTTCGAGGTTACATGGAACAACCAAGCCCAATCCCTCTTTGCAGATCAAACCGGGTGGGATGGGGGGGATACCACTTGTGAGGGGGGGGAGGAGGAGGAGGATTTCCAGGAGGAGCAAGATGTGCCTAAGTCACCAAGGACCCCTCTCCTGCCAAATGTCCCTCTCTCCTCAGGGAGGGCTGTTTAGCATTTTCCTGCTTGGCCCTGTCATTGAACCGGAGCGTACCATGGCAGGCGTTTGAGGGATGCATCTGGCAAGTAATTGGAGGGAGAAGCAGAA